CCCAGGATCCCATAGCACTGAGCCATGGCAGTTAAAGTGGTGTCAAACAGGGGTTTTCTTCTACAGTGTGGATGCAGCCATTATCTTCCTTTTATATAACAATACCACCACATCTCCTATTAGAAAATAAATATGTATACAGGCAGGGTAAATACAGCCCATTAAGATCAAAGTCCTGTCTAGACCACTGTGGAAGGAAAAGCCAGTAGGATATTTCAGGTGGCCAGAACTAAGGGAAAATATAATAATAATAATAATAATAATAATAATAATAATAATAATAATAATAATAATAATTTTTATTTATATCCCACCCCTCTGCAGAGCAATCAGGGCGGCTTACAACATTACAATTTCCATTAAACAAAACATAAAATCCCGAATCCCTGAATTTTAGGCCCGATGGTGCTCGGCCTAGTGTCTCTCCCCCAGATGGCATCGGATGGTAATGGAGGGAGGGCTCTTCTTCTTATTTTAGGCCCGATGGTGCTGGGCCTAGTGTCTCTCCCCCAGATGGCTTCGGATGGTAATGGAGGGAGGACTTTTCTTCTTATTTTAGGCCCGATGGTGCTCGGCCTAGTGTCTCTCCCTCAGATGACACTGGATGGAATGGAGGGAGGGCTCTTCTTCGTACACTAGGCCCGATGGTGCCAGGCCCAGTGTCTCTCCCCCAGATGGCATCGGATGGTATAGAGTCTTTTTTTTTTTTTTTACAGCAATTCTCACAATCCTGCAGCCAACATTGTTAGTAGTCATGGTAGATGAGAGATATTGGGAGTTGTAGTCCACAAAAATAAGTTTTACAAGCTGCCTGCCTCATGACTAAAGGTAAAGGTAAAGATAAAGGTAGTCCCTTGACATGAATATCTATTCGTAACTGACTGTAGAGGGCAGTGCTCATCTCTGTTACTAAACCAAAGAACTGGCATTGTCCAAAGATGACTCCAGTGGTCATGTGGCAAGCATGACTGCATGGAACGCTATTACCTTCCCAATGAAGTGGTATCTATATATCTACTTGCATTTGCATGCTTTTGAAATGCTAGGTTGACAGAAGCTGGGACTAGTGACAGGAGACACCCCATCATGCAACACTTGGGCCTTAAACTGCCAACCTTCCAATCTTCCAATTGTCATCATATTGGCATCTTAACCACTAAGCCACCGCATCCTCATGACTACTGGGCTGATTACAGTGCCTTGTCACATACCTATTAAACTTGTGAAATGAAAGAATATCTACATTGCTGCCAGTCTGGTACCAAGCTAAGTTTAAGGTGTTACTATTAGTATATAATCCTCTATAAAACTCTGAACCAGGTTACCTGAAGACATATCTCTGCCTTTACCTCTGTACCAATCTCTCAGGCTACTATAGTCTTCCATGCCACAGCATATAGATTTCCATTTGGCAGTAACAAAGGAGACAGGGCTTGTCTGCAGTTTCTTCCTTCAATATAGAAAGAGTTGGTTGCATTGGACTAAAGAACCCTTACGGACCCTTCCAAGTCTGTGATTCTAGGATTCTGTGTCCCCTCTGCACTACATTAGGCCTTTATGATGGTATGGGAGCCCTGGCACAATGGTTAAATGCTTGTACTGCAGCCACAAGGTTGTAAGTTCGATCCTGGAGGGTTCCAAGGTTGACTCAGCCTTTCATCCTTTTGTAGGTTGGTAAAATGAGTACCCAGCTTGTTGGGAGCAACTGGCTTACAGATTGTAAGCCACTTAGAGAGTGCTGAGTTCACTGATAAACAGTATAGAAATACACATGCTATTGCTATGTTTTAGCTATTCATTGTGTTATAAAAGTCTATCTTTTTATCTTGGCATTTTGCCAGCTATAAGATTTTTGATGTCTCCCATATGTTATTTGACTTTTTTATTGACATATTTTATTATTCTTGATGTACATCACTTCAAGATCCATATAAATGAGATGCTATGTAGAAATACTTCTAATAAATTGCATGCATGTATATACAAATGCACCAGCATATGCTCTTTTAATATAACCTCTGGTTTAGAATATTAGATTGTACTCAAGAAAACACTAAACTACTGGGGATAATATATAAGAATTTTTGCCAGCTTTGCTTATAAATCAGATGATTGCTGTCTAACTCAACACACCAAATTTGCTCAGTCAAGTCAAGCATTAGGATGGGCTAGCCTCGAGACAAAATGAAAGAAAAATCTCAAGTCCTAGTTTCAGTCCTTCTGTTTGCCTTCTCTAAAAAAGCAGAGGGGAGAGGACAGATTATGCTTCAACATCAAGTGGATTTAAATCTAAATACATACAGCTATGCTGAATATCAGCACTACTTTGCTACCCTATCAGCAGAAGTTTTCATTTTCCTCATCTGTTAACAGAATGAGAAGAAAGTAAACTGTACACTGTAAAACATGTGTTATGAAGCACAGAAATATTATTATTTTTATTTTAAAAATGCATTTGCAATCAACTTTGTTCTGGAATGTGACTGTTTAGGAAAGGATCATTGCTTGGAACAAGGATTCAGAACCTTTGGTCCTCCAGTGGTCAGGATTCTGGAAGCTGAAGTCCAAAAAATTTGGAATACCAAAAGTTACCAAGCCAGTGGCTGGAAAATGGAATGTTTGGTGGAAGGAAAGAGGCATTATTTGCGTAAAGTGGGAGGCAGGAGCCACTGCCACACAGCAGAATTAATACAGTTTGACACACCTTTAATGGGCATGGCTCCAACCTATGGAATCCTGGGATTTGTAGTTTGCTGTGGCACCACCGGTCTCTGACAGAAAATGTTAAACATCTCACAAAACCACAAATCCCAGCATTCCATAGCATTGAGCCATGGCAGTTAAACTGCATTAATGTCTGGGAAGGCTGCCAACATGTGGCTGATAAGGACAAGGCCCTTTTCCAAGACACAAACACAGTTGCAAATAACGTACCAGTGTTTGCTTGCAGCAGGCAAACAACAAGTCCAAAGTTCCGAAAGGCAAGTCAAGAGAGCAATCCAAGGTCCAGGGTTTTCATGAGCAGGTAGTCCAGAGCCATTCCAAAGGTCACAAGATTCAAACCAGTCTAGAGTCAAGCTGAGAGTCAAGAGCTTTCACCGGGGAATCCACAATAAGCCTTGACGAAGAGCTTGGCTTTTCCCAGCTGCTTATCTAGCCCCAGCTCCTCTCTCACAGGTGTTTATCTTTAGCTGCGTATTTCTCAGTTAACCGAGAACGCCGCAGCCTCGCCCTATCTGTTCTCCTCTGGGCAAAGGTAGGGATCTCAATCTCTTGCTCCTCTGCTTCTTCGAGGCCTGAAACCTCTGCTGGGGAAAGGCTTTCTGCTGGAGGGAGGCTAGGCTGCTAATGAGGGGGGCTAGGCTGCTGAGGCAGGGGCTGTGTCTCAATGGGTCCCACACAGTTAGGTCCAGGTTCAGCTAAGTCTATGGGAGCTGGTAGTACCAAGCTAGGATCTGGCTCCACATCCTCCCCCTCAGAGTCCTCCAAGTCCTCAACCTGGCTGTCCCTGACATCTAATTCTACAGTGTAGGTGCAGTCAATGACTATTCTTTGGATACATCGACACTGTAGAAATAATGCAGTTTGACACCACTTTAAGTAGCATGGCTCTTTCCTACACAATCCTGGGATTTGTAGTTTTGTGAGGCACCAGCACTCTTTAGTAGAATGATAGAATCATAAGGCCTAAGCAGACTGCCAGAAATAGTGCACATTAAA